TCACCCCATCCCTCCCACCCCACCCCCTACTCCAACCCTCAGTTTGTTTCCTGAGATTAAGAATTCCTCCTATCAGTGAGAGCATATGATACATGTCTTTCTCTGTTTGACTTATTTCGCTCAGCATAATATCCTCCAGTTCCATCCACGTCGTTGCAAATGGCAAGATCTCATTCCTTTTGATGGCTGCATAATATTCCATTTTTAAAATACTTTGAGCTTTGTGCAGTGGCAGTATCATAACCAATGAGGTTTATCCGAGGTGCGATTATTGCTAATTGAAAACTTTTCCTAAAATACTTTGAGTGAAATGTTCTGTGCTAAGGTAATATTTGACAGATACAGTATATTTAACTGCCCTAAATGTTAATGTCAGTTTTGCCTCTGAAGGCAAGCTATGTTTTTGGGAAGAACTTTCTGTTAAAGAACAAAGAAAATCTTGAACATACCTCTTTTGATACCAGATGACATTTTCAAAATAATGGCTCTGATAGAATATTTAGGCATTCCTTAGAGATAGTCAAATATAGTCCATCTTTGGATGTGGGCCAGTACAATTAGGTACTCCTGTTTAATACATCAAATTTTGTTTTTATATTACAAGAAGAAGTCACTTCTATTTCTATAAATAACTCCTAATGAAATATTCAAATGTCTCTTGATGAGTTTTAGATTTCTGTTAAAATGCTTTCTAACAGTAGCAAAATAATTTCGGAGAAATCTAATGCTATGATTTTCAGTGTTGTATCAGTACATAGGAAAAAACAGAATCTGACTATTAAATCAAAATCTATATTTAATAAAAATCCTTTTTTTCAACTAATTTTTCATTATGTAATTAGTCACATATTTTCTCCTTGTAAAGACACAGCCTTTCTGGTGAGGCTAAAGTGTCCTTTGACTACAACAGTATTTTTTCTGACTATTTTTTTGTTTTGTTTTGTTTTGTTTTTAAAGATTTTTTATTTATTTATTTGACAGAGAGACATAGCAAGAGAGGGAACACAAGCACGGGGAGTGGGAGAGGGAGAACCAGGCTTCCCGCTGAGCAGGGAGCCCGATGCGGGGCTTGATCCCAGGACCCTGGATCATGACCTGAGGCAAAGGCAGACGCTTAACAGCTGAGCCACTCAGGCACCCCTAACTATTGTTTTTTTGTTTGTTTTTTTTTTAATTTTATTATGTTAGTCACCATACAATACATCATTGGTTTTTGATGTGGTGATCCACGATCCATTGTTTTCGTATAACACCCAGTGCTCCATGCAGTACGTACCCTCCTTAATAGCCACGTTTTTTTATTGTTCTCTTGTTCTTCAATTTTAGCTCACCTTTGCATATAATCATAAGGCTCTACTGGAATTTTAGTTGACTTATATAAAAAGTTTTAGAATTACTAGCAGAAAAGCACTTTCCAAAAACAGGTTGATACAGCTTTCTTTACAAGGAAGTGATTTTAATGAGTTTTATTGTTTTTTAAAAAAGTCTTAACTTTAGTCAGATAAGGCCACACATAAAAGCATGTGTCCTTAAAATCAGACTGCGAAATAGTGACATATCACTGTATTGGTAACTACCCAGAGGAAAGAATATATACTGATGTTTAATAAATAATTGGTTTAAAATTAAAATCGATTTAAAAGCATCTGACATTTTCTTTTTAGCTGAAGAAGAAGCCACTAAACGGCGGCAGATGCAGGAAGCGGAAATGATGTACCAGACAGGGATGAAAATCCTCAACGGAAGCAACAAGAAAAGCCAGAAAAGAGAGTAGGTAGCACTGCCAGTCCATTCTTCCCCTGACTTAGGCCATTACTGAGATAAAAAGCACTAAGTACTTGTTTAAGTGCACTGCCGAAGACAGAGGATTTTTTTAGGCTGTATTATAAGAAAACCTGATATGACCTATAGACATTGGGGCATTACTTCTATCGGATTTCAGCTCTTCGGGCTAAAAAGATTATAAATACTCATCACAAGAATGAACAATAAGCAAAATGGAAATAATTAAAATTTATAATAGTTTCTAAGAGCCAAGAATATGTGTACTATTCAGAATTCAAAATGACATAAAACAAAAGGAATTGTTGTCAGGTGTTTTTTTGTTTTTGCTTTGTAATTATCTTGCAGACAAACACTAGAATTTAGGAATTTGGAAAGAACATAAAGTTCAGTTGACTGTCTTTTAACATTTTATGTCCCTTAATTTCAGCTGACTTTTGTTATAGTCTGTGCAAAGATTTTAAAAGAAAATTGCAGTGGTTATCATTGGATTATTTATTAGATACTACATTATTATAATTCTCTCTCATTCTTAGACTGTTCTAAAATATTGGAATAACAGAACTGGTACCTTACATAAAAAGAAAAGTAGCCCAGAATGTTTTCTACATATATAAGTAACATAATTTAGTGGAAATCAAATATCAGAGGGATTCTGTAGAATAAGAAAATTATTTATTCTGCATTTTAGTAGATTTTGTAAAAGAAAAAAAACAAAAATTATTTTAAGGTTTTTTTTTTTATTTAAGTAATCTCTACACCCAAAGTGGGGTTCAAACTCACGACCCCGAGATCAAGAGTCACACGCTTTTCGAACTGAGCCAGCCAGGCACCCCAGATTCTGTAAAAATTTTAATGGGAGTTCCAAAATATTGCTAATGTGTTTGTTTTTGTTTTAATTACTTATGTTTAAAGAGCATATCGGTATCTTCAAAAGGCAGCAGGCATGAATCATACCAAGGCCGTGGAGAGAGTGTCATATGCTCTTTTGTTTGGTGATTACCTGACACAGAATATCCAGGCAGCTAAAGAGATGTTTGAGAAACTGACTGAAGACGGCTCTCCTAAGGGACAAACTGTAAGTGTACTTTCATTGCAGAATCTCTTGGCACACAGCACTTGTTTATTTTCACAGTAGTTTACTCTTTATACTCTGCCTTCCCTGAACAAGTAAGGCTGGAAGGTAAAATGGCTTTAAATACTAATCCTGTGGCAGATCATTTTACCAATCTTCTCAGACAGTCTTCTTCCTCAGGGTGAGAACACTTGTGGTCACCTAAGGCATTTTTGCAGCTGCATCTTACCACAGTTATACTTGTAGTTTTCCAAATTCAATCTGTACAGAATGAAACATAAAGGTAATTATTTTTTTTATCTGAAATCACTCCCCATTGCCTTTTTTCCAAAGTTCAGATGCTCCAGCTTTTGGTAATCTTGGTGTTTTTTTAAAAAATATATTTTATTACAGAAGCAGTACATGTTTATTATAAGAAACTAGAAATACAAAAAAAAAAAAAACTAAGAAAGAAAACATCATATCTGTACCACACAGACCTGAACATTGGTAACATGTTAATGCATGCACACCCTTCTTGACCTTTCTCTTTGTGTATTTATACATGTGAACTTCTTATTAAAATGAGATGTCACTGTCTACTGTTCCCTTCCTTGCTCTTTCGATAAATAGCCCTCATCATTCCAGTCCAGTAGATGTAACACCCAGACTGTCTTCATAAGGCGTAGAACCAAAACATTTCCTTTATCCCTGTTTTGTCCAAAGCACTATCCAGTCCAGGACTACACGTTCTGTTTGGTCGTTAATGCTAGCAGAGTCCCTGCCTTTCTTTCTTGTCTGTGCCCGAGATAGGGCCAGTTGTTCTGCAAAATGGCCTTCTTAGTTTGTCTGTTTGCTTCTTCCTTTTGTCCTTTATTTGGGGTCTTCATCATTTGTATTTCCCGTAGAGGATATCACAGCTAAAGGCTGATGAACTAAAGTCAAGTATTTTTGGCTCAGACAGCCTTATAAGGGGATGTTCTGCATCCCATATCACATCACACCAATTGATAAATATTCTCTGCTTGATTTCGCATGGGTAATAGTAAGATTGACACCTGGATTTAGAAGGCCACCACATTTATTTTTAAGTGCTCTCAGTAATTCAGGTTTATCGGAGGTGTGGGATTTGCTTAAATATAAAATTTCTAGTCACGGTTAGTGGAAGTCTGTTTTTAGACTGTTTAAACAATAACAGGAATTGTGACCATTTTTTTTTTTTAAAGATTTTACTTATTTATTTGACAGAGAGAGAGATAGAGAGAGCAGGAACATGAGCAGGGTGAGTGGGAGAGGGAGAAGCAGGCTCCCTGCCAAGCAAGGAGCCCGATGCGGGGCTCGATCCCAGGACCCTGGGATCATGACCTGAGCCCAAGGCAGACGCTTAACGACTGAGCCACCCACGTGCCCCGTAACCATTGTTTTCTATAGGACTGAATATCTACCCAGTCTGCAACTCTTACACAGTTTTGGTTTAATTTATAAACAGGTTATATCTTAATTGTTCCCCCTTTGTTTTCAAAGCTTTTTTTCCCTTCTTTGTGTAAGTCAGATTTTATAAATTCACACACATTCTTTATTCTGCAGACACATTTGGCTCTAAGAATGGTTGTACTTCTCAGGCATCGTTCCCCTCTAGTAATAGCACCCCACAGTGCCATAGTGCTTTATATGGCATATTGCAAAGCGCTCTCTCCATGGTAATTAATTCTAGTTGATGTAACAGACATAGCCCCAGGATCACACTGGCTCAACACTACAAAGAGTTACTCCTTGTTCACACCAGGGTCGATGTGGTTCCCCTGCCTATGTCACTCTCTTCCCAGTGCTGACTCAGTCAAGGGCCACTTCTGCCACATAGCTGTACCATCTGAAACATGGGGCTTTCGAGCCATCATGAAGGGAGAAGAGAGGGCTGGAGGATTTTCTATAAAGTTTGTTGTGTTTTTTTTGAAGATTTTATTTATTTATTTGACAGACACAGAGAGAGAGGGAACACAAGCAGGGGGAGTGGGGGAGGGAGAAGCAGGCTTCCCGCCAAGCAGGGAGCCCCATGTGGGCCTCGATCCCAGGACCCCGGGATCATGACCTGAGCCGAAGGTCCTTAACAACGGAGCCACCTGGCGCCCCTTCTGTAAAGTTTTTAATGGCCAGTCCTAAAAATGGCTTGCATCTCTCTTTGCCACGTCCTAAACACGTGACCCTACCCAAGTACAAGGGCGGGGAGGGGGCGGGGCGGGGACAGGGAGTGGCTGGGAAATGTAGAAGAGCTCATGGATTTTGATGAATGCTGGCACATGATACACCTGCCTTTCTGACTTTAGCTTTTACTTTCATGTCTTCAAGGATGGTCCTCAGTGGGCAAAGGTAGAACCTTATCAATGTATTGTTTGCTTGGTTGTAGTTTTTTGTTTTGGGGGTTTTTGTAATGAAAAATTGTGTGTGCTTCAGCATTGTGAAGTGACCTTTCTCTGTTGCCCCTTCAACATGACCCTTGCCGCCCCTTTTTATTGCTAGGATGTTTATCTTGGTAGCCTCTTACTATTTTCATTGCGTATTCTCCTTTGATAGGTAATGCGTTGATGTGATGATATAGGGGTTTTTTGGTTCTCATAATAGCTGTTGATCAAGATAAAGGAAAAGCCATGCTTAAGTGTGTTCAGCTTTGGTTTTGTAATTAATATTTTATTAAGCCTGTCTTTAATCTTCAAGCTAAACTTTTTGATTTGTTTAGTTGTATTTCATTGTGTAATTTGTAAAACCTTGAATGCATTTCTGAGGCTCCTTAATTAACCACAGTTGTACTTTGGATTGTTCAAGTCTTTCAAGATCTAAAGATTCTTGCATCTTTTCATTGTTCATAAAACTATGTCTGTGGATAAATTTCCACTAGGAAAGAATTCTTACTTTTATCATTTTATTTCAGGCTCTTGGCTTTCTCTATGCCTCTGGACTTGGTGTTAATTCAAGTCAGGCAAAGGTAATATTATTAAAATTTTATTGTATACTACCATTTGAATTGGGTCAATGTGTGCCTGTGTTCACTTAAGCATATTTTGTTCTTTCCCAGGCCCTCGTATATTATACTTTTGGAGCTCTCGGGGGCAACCTAATAGCGCACATGGTTTTGGTAAGTAAGACTTTAGTAACATTGAGGAGCAGAATTTTTGGTTCATGAGGGGCCATAGCTTTTCTAGCTTTCATGAATGAGATGCACTTATATTCATTAAGATCAAATATTCAGTTGAACATTTTTCAAATTCCTGTTAATGGGTACAACACTTGCATCTACACATGGATGAAAATTTGCACAGTCCACAGTTTTTCTTTAAAATGATGACTTTGGCTGATTGCCCTTGTGATAAATGGCTCTTTTTTATTTTCCGTAAGTTGGAAATGTTTGTCAAAATCATTTCTTTGGTTATCACAGATTTTACATTGAAAATTGATTTATGTTTTACATTTAAATTTATATAAATAAGGAGATTGTTACAGGAATCAGCTAGAAAGGCACTTAACCCACACTGGTGTTGGAAGGAGAGGTTAAAGGAGATACTTCTGAGGAAAGAAGTAACTAAAGTAATTCTTGAGGGATAAATAGCAGTGAGTATGAATAGAAGTGGAAGGGCATTCAGACAGCAGGAGCAATATATGCAGAAGGACAGTGATGAGGGAATGTGGTGCTTGCAAGAAAATACAGGCTCTTTAGTGTGGCTGGAGAGTAGAACATCAGGAAACTTATCAGCAATCACGTAAATGGTCTGTATGTCACGCCAAGGAACTTGGACCTCATCTGTACAGACGTAAACTGCTGAAGTAGTTTAAGCCAGTGAAAAACAAGGATGTTGCTCCAACTTTCTGAAACATTCCTCACTAATTTTGAAGGTTTTTTTCCCATTGGCTTTTTTCGTCTATGGTAGGTAACATTTATTCCTCAAACAGTAAATGAAAAGTTCCTTTTAGATCAATTTTCCAGAAATTTAAAGCATATTTTTATATGGCAAAAATATGTTACATTGGGGAGGGTATGTGCTATGGTGAGCGCTGTGAATTGTGTCAGACTGTTGAATCACAGACCTGTACCTCTGAAACAAATAATACATTATATGTTACAAAAAAAAGAGAGAGAAAAGATTTTATTCATTTATTTTTCAGAGAGAGAGAGCACAAGCAGGTGGAGTGGGAGAGGGAGAAGCAGGCTCCCCACTGAGCAGGGAGCCCGATGCGGGGTTCGATCCCAGGACCCTGGGATCATGACCTGAGCCGAAGGCAGACGCTTAATGACTGAGCCACCCAGGTGCCCCTAAGCTTTATCAGATCTTAAGACCTTCAGAAATTCTAAGCTAGATACAGAGCTGCCATGTACACTAAGCCAGCCATGTTCACTAAGTTGACCTATCCTTAAGTCATCCTAAAGAAAATTGATGCTGACTCTTTCATGTTCCCCATTTCAAATCATGTATTTTTGTCTTCAAATTCTGATCATTAGAATTGACAGTATTAAATCCATGGATACCAGAAGTGCTATTCATGTTTAGAGTTTTTTCTTTTCTTTTCAGCTCTGACCGCCATTGAAGGCACAGCACATGGGGAGCCCTGCCACTTCCCTTTTCTGTTCCTGGATAAGGAGTATGACGAATGTACATCAGATGGGAGGGAAGATGGTAGATTGTGGTGTGCTACAACCTATGACTACAAGGCAGATGAAAAGTGGGGCTTTTGTGAAAGTAAGTATTGCTCAGTAGGAGGCATGTCCACATTGCTTTATGTCTCAGACAACATTTTTAAGGCCTTTTTCTAGCCATCCTTTCCCCACCTTGGTCAGAAGTGGTCCCCGTCAGTGGTATAGATATAGTCTTAAAGAATGGACTTAAGAGCAGGAAGCATGCAGTATACTCACTTCCAGGCTATCACTTGGCCAGTTTATCACACTCGTGTTTTATTTAGAGATGATTTTCTGTTGGTGTGCACAGGTTGTTCTGCAAACCCTCAGGCAGGCTGCTAAATTAATTAATGTAAAACGTTTTTTGGCAATAAAAACAGAACATTATGCTGAGGTTAATTAATAGTACTTAGAAGAAAAATAGATAATATCTTTTTTTAAAATTTTTTTATTGTTATGTTAATCCCCATACATTACATCATTAGTTTTAGATGTAGTGTTCCATGATTCATTGTTTGTGCATAACACC